CACACACACACACACACACACACACACACACACACACACACACACACCGACCTTGCGTGTCGCAACATCGAATAAAAGGCCCTTTGTTCAGGATCCCGATTGCCGATATGAATTACGTGTTATGTAGAAGAAAATTGCGACGGGGAGAATGCGAACGATGACGATATTCACGACGATGTCATTTTGTCGACATCGAAAAACACAAAAAACATTCTCGTATAGTTAAATGTAAACGAATCCTATCCGATAAATTCAATCCTAATTATATTCAAAGGTATTTTATTTCCACTTGGATTCATTGCCAAGGACTTGGTAGGGTTGCGCAATCGCAAAAGCTACATCCAGAAACTCTAACGAATTATAACAAATAATGCGTTTCAATCATTTTGAAAAAGTTAGAAAAAAAATCTATATCATGTCATTGTGTAGCGACAAAGCATATGACAAGCGTGACCATACTTTATTGTGTTGGTTTCGAATGTTGTTTCGTCTTGTGTAAAATGCTTTATTTGATGTTAATGTTGATGTTAATGATGATGGGCTAGTGGAGTGAGAATAAAAATACGCGAATAGATTGCGGTTAGGAGCGATCAATCATGGTTCGATCAATCTTTTGTTGGAGTTGAGCTCTCTTTATTCTCACTTTCTTTTCCCTTTCACACAATCCACTCCACTTATTTATTCGTCTGTTTATTGTTCCGGTTGTTGTCAATTGCAATTGATCCACAAACACACATTAATTTTCATATTCAGGCTGGCGCTGAAATTATGAGCTTGTATTCTGAGCGATGGCTAACGATAACAATAAATAATACCAATGATACGCCAGAGAGAGAGAGAGAGAATGAGAGGCGTAATAACAAAATTAAAGCGGTACTGTGTTTTCCGTCGACATGAATCGAGTGTCGGCTCCTTTTAATCAACCGAAATCATATTTCATGTTGGAAATGAAAGGCTGAATTTTTTACTATTGGCTATCAGACCACTTATTCACACGAACAGAAAACAGACTGGAGATTATAGTTCTCTGTTGTTCTCGCTCTGTGGCTTTATTTGCATGCTGAGGCGTAACTGTGGTCAACATCATATTCCTATGGTTGGGCAGAACAGAAAAATTAACAACGTAGGTTCGAAGAAATAAACAACAAATAATATCGACTGGATGTGTTTTGCACTGTTCCGACAATGAGCCGTTCTTTGGAATGGAATTTATTATTGTTGTTCATATTAATATGTTTGATATGTGGCAATTCATTGGAATCAAGCCACAGCTATTTCATTACGGTGCTCATTCAGAAATTAATGTTTTAAATGCCTAAACCGAGCTGAACATCACAATGTCATTAACAGTTGTGCATATATAACACAGTACATAGTTGCTGAACGTTGACACTCAAACACATTTTTACCTCAATTTCACAAGTCATTTTCCTGGATATCGTTTCCGAATGGCAATGAAACAATTTTTTACATCATTTCCATTTCTATGCGATTGCCATCCATAGGCAAATTCGCAAAACATAGTCTCTACGACTTGTTTTCCATTCATGCTCCCTCGCATGCCATTTATGGGAGAAACGTTCGGTTCGAGGTATTTTTAACTGTGTGGCAAAGAATAATGCGTGGCAAAAATGCGAGCATATGCCGTCGTAACGCAATCGAATGAAATAATTTCCATCCGAATGAAGAATTTTTTATTAGATTTCGCTCATTTCGCATAGAAATTGATACGAAAATATTATTTTACATGGGAAACGTGTATGTGTGAGAGAGACGCGGCATGCATAAATGTAAATATTTTTATTTCCGATTTAGATTCAATTTAGATGCTGAGCCAAATGAAATGTTGCATTAGCGGTGTGACTGCGAAGAATAAGAGACCGAGATGGGGTGTGCACATATGTGCTAATTGACTACTGGCGTATGTTCTATATGCACATGATTCAACCGAAACATCAAACGTCCACCAACTCCAATATCTTGTGCAGAAGAAACCACGGCGGTGACGATGACGGCGACGATGACGACGACGACTGTGGGTTTTGCCGTTCGGTGAATAATACATGTATAAAACGCACTGTAGCAACAACAATAGAATTAATACGCAACGCTTTGCGGTTAAGTTCATCAATACAAACGAGGTGGAAAAGAAGAAAACACCACCATAAAAACGAAATTGAAGCCGAAATAAAGGGTAAAAGAGTGTTGCTGTGTACACTTTCGGTCGATCTGAACAAGTCACATCCATCCATTCTCAGTCATTGCCGTCGCCGTGGTGTGTGTGTGTGTGTGTGTGTGTGTAAATATGTTAGAAAAACTGATGAAAAAACGGAACCACAGAGCAAAAGCCATAAACAAACAAATGAACCATACCATCGCAGTGGACATAGTCGAAAGCAAATAAACACAGCAACAACAACACCGGCCACCGAACCAATATCGCAAAAACAATGACACATCGAACTAGTCACGACCTACAAAATGATAAATTAGATTCTATTGTAAATAAAAAGCGGTTGTAGCCGTGTGCGTTATCAAGAGTGTGGTGGACGGAAGATAGAAGCGCCCGCTCGTCCGTTCATTTGCTCAAAACACTTGTAGCAAATGCAGAAACGACCATCCCAATTTGATGAGTTCCGCGCGCGCCTCTTGCCACCAACAAATGATATTACACTTTACGACCGAATCGTTTGATGGGAAACACTTTGAATATATACCGAGAATACGCTTTTTTTCCCTATGCCGAAAAAAAAAACAGTCGGGCTTTTCAACGTGTTCGAAAAAGTATGAAAATAAATAGTGAACGCTTCAACTACATTCAATCGCATAACAATTTATCCGGTTATATTCGAACCATTATTCTCACTTGTTTTTCACCACCTTTTTTGTGACGTGGCTGATTGGAAGTTTTGAAAAATATATGAACCATCGTCAACAGAAACAACAACCGCAATATGAATAAAGAATAAAATTTTTATAAAAAAAAGCATTTCTCACATAATTTTGCCTGACCTTTTTTGACTATTCAATTAAGTATCACGGAGTAAACAGACGAAAAAACAATAGACATGATGTATTGCGGCCAAATTGCCACCCGTCGAACGGCTCGAAATTTGGATTCGAATCAATATTCGGCATCATTAGATATTTTTCCGTTCATGACATTGAAGGTGCAATTAATTTGCGCGCGCAATTGGCGTTCGACAAGGACACAATTTTATTGGTCGGAAGGACTTTGCAATTGATAAAATTCTTATTCTGGACAAATATACAGCGAAGCAGGTGGAATATATTAAAGGCGATTGACGAGAGCTCACGCAACACACTCCTTCTGTGTGTTCAATGATTGATTAGCGAGCTTTTTCGTTCCGTTTTTCCGTTGGGCGTTTGCATCATTAGAGCTAAAAATGGGCACATTTTATTACGATCCAAGCCCACCTCAATCGCGTCGTCCTTCCTCCTCAATAGTGTACGTTGTATACATTTGGCATTGTGTGACTATAAATTTGGTTAGGTCAGTGACTGGAATGGCTTGTAATTTACATGATAGATGCACGTGGTTTTCCAGCTAGGAAAAAATATTCCATTTAAAATTGTACACCTCAAGCAGATCAAGAGATGTTGAGCATTAAATCCACTGGATGTGAAATAAGAGTATAATATTCCTTGAAATTGAAAACCCACACACATTAGCACGATTTACGTAAGCGACGGCAGAAACGAATATGATTTTGGCAAAAGAATACGTATCTCCTTTCGGGGCTTACTTTTCAAATAACCGAGCGATTCACTTTTTCTTCTTATCACGTACTGTAATTTAATAAGGATTATCTTACTCGTTCTGCACCACAAACGAGTCTCGAGTATCGTTTACCCATCGTATAACACTACAAAATAATTGTTGAGAAAAAGTTTTTTCTTTCTTTTTCTTTTTTTCGCATCAGCATTCCAATTTTTTTTTCGGTGAGGCATTAAAATTATCATCAAGCGAATGAGAATTATTAATGTTCTTGTGCCAACATCGCATATAATTTCTGCAAAAGAACAAGTATCGATTTTTAGACACGAGTTTTTGCATCGCAGAAGTGCAAAGGGATGCCATTAAGGGATTCGAATTGAATTCTCAGCAAGCGATTTAAAGAATTTGTTCGCTCTCTCTCCCTCCACCTTTCTCTTGAATTAAATCCATCGTGAATTATGGCTCAAGTGGCCTGAACTAAAATTGATAACAAGCATTTGGCGTAGAAAAACGGCACACACA